TTAAAGATAGGAGATCCTTATTTTTTTAGATATTAACAGATCAGGCCTAGTTACCTCAACTTCTGGTTTGATTAGGTACATAAAAATAATTGAAAATGAAATATTTTCACTGGCACCCATTAATACTATCAATTTACAACAGAATCAAGCAAAATAACTTTTAAAATATCTACTTTATTTTCTTTGTAATAAAAATAATAATACTATGAGAAAGACATAGCAAGTCACATTGAAATCCATCATAAATTAGAAGGGTAGCTATTTGGATGCCAACGCAGAAAAAAATAATGGGTATGGTTTGTATCATTACTTCAGACAAGTTTTTAAAAATGCTGTCTGCTCTAAAGATCATGGATAGTATTTCACGCCAAGTCTCAGTATTATATTCTATGTCTACATAATCCTGAAAAAATGGGCTGTCTGATTCCTCTGTGTGTGTGTGTGTGTGTGTGTGTGCAAGAGAGACAGAGCGAGAGAGAGAGAGAGAGAGAGAGAGAAGTACTAAGGACTCTGAGCTAAGCAGACATGAATTTAAAACCTAATTTCATTACTTGCTGCAAGCTGTTTAACATCACCGTATCGCAGTTTCCTCATCTATGAACTGACCATGGTAATCTTTGCATCTCATTGAGTTCTTGTAAGAATTAGAATATACAGTATAAGGTATATAGCACACCACCTGGCACATTAAGAAGCACTTTAATTTTGTTAGTGCCACGCTGACCCACATTCTATTATTCTACCAACATCTTGCAAACAGTCTCAGGGAAACCAGGCAAAAGAGAATGATCAAGAATCCAAAATTTACCTCCAAATCCAATAAAGCATTCAGAGGGCACATGTACACACAGAAGCACTTACATGCACAAACATCAGCACACAAATCCTAGTACACTATGATGCAGTACAAATGACAGAAAAAACAGTGGTGAAACCAAGGTTATTTCCAGTAAAGGATTTGCAGGGCCACAGAGAATTAGCAAATCAAAACTTGCTTTTTAGAATAACAAATGAAGGCACAGTTTAGAAGCTCCTTAACATGGGCCTCAGTTTTCTGTCACTGTACAATGAAGCCACTGGGCAGTGTATTTCTATCCTCAAATTCTATGATTCTAACATAACGGGTTTAATGCCACTGTACTTGTTTTTAACCAATTAAATTACTCTGCCCTTTATGAAAAGCCACACAACTATCATGAACTGTACCTACAGTAATAAGGCTGTTTTAAAATACACACACACAAACACACACACACAGAGGACAGTAAGTAGCTCTATTCAACAAATAGCTTTAAGGGGAGACCAATTTTTTTTCATGCCATCACCATGAACTCAAACTGGTACAGATGGAAATTAATTCAAGATGCTGACCATCTGAATTTCCTCTATCATATCAAACTACCCATTGGATTGATTTTTTTTTTTTTCTCACTGAATTTACTAAATTGATGTCTTGTTTTGGTGTCATATGGATATGGGTGAGCTAACTTATATGAACGTTAATAAATGTTCTCCCTCTTCCAGAAATGACCAACTACAGAGATGTGGTGTGTTTTACTACTGCCCTTAATTGTTCAAACACCCGTTCATTTGGCAATCTTTAACAATTGTGGAACACCTAAGTAAAACTAAACAGTTATCAGAAAAAAAGCTCAACTTTTAAACTTAGAGAGGAAGATGTAGTATCCATCACAGACTAGCTGTAAATACATGTAACAGATGTGACCAAGGCTGATCTAACAAGTTCTTTAGTATACATAATTTCAGTGGGCCAACTTTAAAACTACTTTTTAAAAAGATGCCAAAGCTAGAATGTTTATCTTTTACTTACAAAAGACTCGAAGGCAACCAAATAAATTGTATTTTTGTTATATCAGAAAATTAAGTCCCTGCTCATCAATCAACTATAGACTCTTTCAGTGCATAGTTTTTTTTTTTCTTCTGCTAACTTTGCTATCCTACTTTTTAATGAAAATAATTTTCCAATCATCCAGGCATGTGGATGCTTTTAGCTTAAGATCAATGATACAACGGATATTAAATCCCTTTGTATAAATTATCATATAGGTTATAAACATTTCTTAAAAATAATTCCAGAGCCCACCAATTCTCCCTGTTAAGGTCATTGAAGCTCTGAACCATCATGGCTGAATTGTTTTAGTGCTTTCTGCTGAACACCTGCAAACATCAAACAAAAACTGCTGGTCCTTTCCTGGGTTGACAAAAGCCTTTCATGTGAAAAATGCTCCCTGGGAATGTCAGGCTGTAGCTCAGGTTACATTCCATTCTCCCCAGCAGCCTCACCATTTCTTAAGGTGGTAGGAAAAACCATGTTTGTGAAATGAAAGATTAAAGGGAATATAGCCACACTGCAAATCACGATGGAGAATCCTGTATTGATGGAATCAAAAGCTACTGGGAACTTTAAGCATGAAATATTACCATGCCTCACTTAAAAAATATATAGCTGATTTTTCATATAGTAACAGTTTACTTATAGTTTAGATCTTTTTTTCCTGGATCCAAGTTTCAAAGTGACCCATGAAAGTGACATCTGAGTCCACAAAGGACAAGGGATATTAACTTGAAGGAAATTTAGAAAATTATTTCTGTCTCAAGGTTCCTAGTTCATCCTTCCAGTTAAAAGGCAAAGCGTAGTTTTCGTGATTTTTTAAAAATTTGTTATGCTTTAAAAGAGATTTACCTCTTTTATTGAGTGGAAATGTAAAGCCATTTTCTTTACTAATAGCCCTGTGATCAAATATATTTTAACAGATAAGAAAAAACTAACACTCCAATCTATACCCTGTATATTACAGTCACCGTCATACTGCACTGAACGAATACCCTGCATTTTCAATCAGGCAGCCAGAATAAAACAGCCACTACACTTTTTGCCCTTTCAAGTAAACATTTGGTCCTCAAAACTACACCTCTGATACAATGTAACTTAAAGTTCAATACCTTAAAAATAATCACTTCATATTCATTAGAAATATCATAACATGGCTCACTAAGGGTAAAGTCTCTCTCTGGGTTTATGTACACATGAACTGTGTAAGTTTTGATATATGATCACTTACCAAAATGCATTAATACATATTCAATTTATCTAGCCTGTATTCTCTATAAATACTTAAACATCATAGCAAGAACTTTATTGAAATGTGAACATAGAAAACCGACCAGACACACAATCGTGTTTTTAAATGTAACACAATTTCATACTTCTAAATCACCTTACTTTATTAAGCCATGTCTAAACTAATATATTTGTTATTTCAAATGTGCCTATTTTTACAACAGTCCAAACAAGTAATTTGCACTGAGTTTGAAAGTAGTTTATCTCTGTGCCTGCTTGACTTGTACTTTTAGATTTAAACTGAATACACATTTCTTAAGTAAGAAAATGAAGAAAATTACTGTCAGGAATAAAGTTATTAAACTGATTTTATAGAGTCTAACATAAAAAATTAATTTCCCTACAAGAAGTACTTGTACTCATCTTTACTCCAAGCATGCATATTAATATTTTCAATTTTAAAAGTTGTATAGAGAATACCATAAAAAAATTTAGAAGATATACTAATACAACAAAAAAAGTTAAGCCCCCAAATGGAAAATATAATAGGGTCCAGAATAGCAAAAACACAAACATATTGTCAACAGTTATTTTAAGCAAAAGATAAAATATGACTATACAAGGCATCTCCTATTTTGTAAATTAAGTTATAGGGACAAAAATTACCTAGACTTATGGGGGCCAGTAGAAGGAGAACTAACTTATTTGTAAATGAGCAACTTTTAAAATCCATTAATATTATAAAAATATACCAGTTACACAAATCACATAGGTGAACAGATTTCTTTCATTGCTATAGAACCAAATGAAAATTAGGAGACGTGAAATTACATTCAGAGTTGACAGACAATTCCACTGGCATCTCACTCCTAAAAGATGTCAACATTTACCAGTCTGACTTAAGAACAGTACTCTGCCTAATGTACTGTTATGTACCATTGCCAGAACTCCTAAAATACTGCAGCTGTTTAACAAGCATATATGGAGTTAAGCCTTGGATCTAAAGACTAGCAGGCAACAATGTATGACTCCTACTTATCTGAAATTCACTGGATTAAAAAAAAAAAAAACATTTTAAATGAATATCATACTTATCTGAAATTCACTGGATTAAAAAATACATTTTAAATGAATATCATATTTTTAGTCTTCACTTTTAATAAGAGACATTCAAATACTTCTGTACTGAAACTCCTCCTTAGATGCCAGATAATCACTGTGCACACAGATTCCTTTGTGAATAGTGCTAAGGTCTTTTTTAAGCATCACCCAAAGGTCTTTCATTTATAAAATGTAAAAGTCCTTCCAAATTTGCAACTTTAAACATAGCAAAAATTCATTGCACAAGTAAATGATCAGGGAAAAGAAACAGTTTAAGGATCAAAAAGGATATTTTAAATATAAATGAATTCATACTCAGCCTCTTAGATAAGTAAGAGGCTATTTACACTATGGTTTACTACCCGCATTCATCTGCAAAATTAAGTGCTCATTTCTTTAAAAGGGTTAATTGTACACAGTACCTAATAATTGATATTATTTACAAGGGATTTTCCCTTTCTATGAAAGATAAATTCCCCCCCCATTTTCAAATAGGGAATATTAATTTATTCCCCATGTTCACATTGGCCTTATCTTCACATGTTTGATTGCAACGGCATTAGAAAACTGTTTTTAAATTAAGTGATGGAATTTTGAGATAGTTTCCTTGATTTAAAAAAAAAAAAGAGGCCTAATTTAATAGAAAAAGATAACATTTTGTGTAAGTTACACCACTGATGGATAATGAAATAACCATATCATTACAGGCTACAATTCACTGACTTTTTCAGAACACTTCAACAGAGCCAAAAATATAAAATGCGTAAACAAACAGCTAAGAACATTTAACTTCATACTAAGAGAAGAATTTACGTACTTGAGCCAGTAAAATGTCCACTCGCCAAAGAAGTTGGTCCATTTTTCCCACTGCTCACAGGAGGTGAAAACATCTAAAAGAAACAAAGAAATATTACAGTTGAAAAGAAGACATTTGTGCCTTCAGAGTTCGTCGAAGATCTTTTATACTCTTACCAAATAACTTAAGCGTTTATGCTAAGGGTTTATTTAGTAAAATACATCACCATCCAACTTAAAACTAATACAGGCAGAACATTACAAATCCTCCCCCGCCCCCAATTACCACTCTGTTCTTTTTCCTCAGATTGATTAGATTGCCAAGCAGTACTGCTACTTTTGAACAAACACAGTTCTCATAATGTTATCAAGACTCAGGTTGGAGGGCAGCAATCTCTCTAGAAAAACACTAGTTTTACAAAGGAGAAGAAAAAAGTTGTTTGCTTTATAATGAAAACCTTGGCCATAAACGTGGCAATGTCCATTTCCATCCCGTATAGGATTTGCCTGTCATATGTGAACCCAAATAAAAATAAAAGTGCCACCTGCACTAAATTCTCATTTCGTCTCTAACATGAGAGCAATTTGAAGCAAGACTCTCTCTCTCCCACTCTCACTCTCTCTCTTTCACTCCCTCTCTCTCCAACATTTATTTCGACCCTAATTGGTTTCCCTCTTCTTCCACGTATCTAGTGGATAATGCACACCTTCCCTGAGTCAGAGCCTGCAAAAAGCAAAGGAACGAATGGAGAAAGTGCAGCAAGCAGAAAGGGGGCTGCAAAGCTGCCTAGGGCTACGTTTCCTGGCAAAACTTCCGAAAGCCATTTCTCCAAAAGAAGGTCTAGAAGAGCAGCAGCCAGCAGCCAGCAGCAGCAGCAGCAGCAGCAGCAGCAGCAGCAGCAGCAGCAGCAGCAGCAGGAAAGAGCCCCACTTAAAAGGCGGTTTGGATTTTATTTGTGTGTTTTATGGATTCTTTTTATTTTGCTTTACAAATGCATCTTACACCAAACTCATCTGGCATTAAAAATGAATTAATTCCCCTGACATGTTTGGGACTTGGTTTGGGAAAGGGAAGCCAACGGATGGAGAAGGACCATGTACAGCCGTAAAACTCCACAAGTGTGTAAGTTCCGCTTTGTGCTGATCTCACGACTATGAAATTTACAAAAATAGTCCAAAGGGTCTAAAGAATGTATGCTCAGCATGTACATACGAGTGTCCAGAATCCCAGCAAAACATGTAACTAGGAAGACTACAGGTCCCAGTAAGCCAAAGCATCATCAGTTTAAAACTTTAAAGAGACAACTGGGTCTTCTATTTTCTATTTACAGAAAATAATAAATAAAACGAGGAGTACTGCGCAAAGTATCAGCACTCTCAGTGTTCAGATATGACCAAGTTTTGGGGGTGATTTGCAGTTTTGGGGTGTCTGTTTTTCCTTTCGACTGGGGTGAGATAATATTATTTGGGGGAATCGGTGGGTAGGGAATTCAAGACAAATAACTAGACTGAAAAAAAGCCTGAATCTTCCATCACACCCAAAATTTATAGTTAAAAACTTGTCAAAAAAACCTTAATATTTACCAAGGATTTAGCCAATTAAAAATCATTCATTGCTACTGGTTTCTAGCTGAAGTGTTTGGGTGTTTTGTTTTGTTTTTTTCACAGCTGTTGTTAGTTTCCACCGTTCTTTCTTACCGCACTGAAATCCAGTAAATCACTCAGCTCTTTGTCCGTCCCTAAGGCAGCCATTCGCTGTTGGTGATGCATTTTAGCAAAATCACACAAACCTAGAAACATGGAAATAACCGCAATCAGAAAATCCAGTCCCAATCCTTGGAGAAAACACAATCGGATTTTTGGAGACTGGGGGGTTGGGGGTGGGGATGTGGGGGCGGGTAGGATTAAGGTGGAAAGGAGGGAGGGATGGGGGGGTTGTTGTTGGGGTTTGTTTTGTTTTGTTTAAGATGGAACAGGCAGCAATAGCAAAAAAAAAAAAAAAAAGCGATTTTGTTTTTCCAAAGAGACGATAAAACTGGAAACATCCACTAAAAAACCAAATCCGGGAAGAAAAAAAAAAAAAAAGCGATTTTGTTTTTCCAAAGAGACGATAAAACTGGAAACATCCACTAAAAAACCAAATCCGGGAAGAAAAAAAAAAAAAAAGCGATTTTGTTTTTCCAAAGAGACGATAAAACTGGAAACATCCACTAAAAAACCAAATCCGGGAAGAAAAAAAAAAAAAAAGCGATTTTGTTTTTCCAAAGAGACGATAAAACTGGAAACATCCACTAAAAAACCAAATCCGGGAAGAAAAAAAAAAAAAAAGCGATTTTGTTTTTCCAAAGAGACGATAAAACTGGAAACATCCACTAAAAAACCAAATCCGGGAAGAAAAAAAAAAAAAAAGCGATTTTGTTTTTCCAAAGAGACGATAAAACTGGAAACATCCACTAAAAAACCAAATCCGGGAAGAAAAAAAAAAAAAAAGCGATTTTGTTTTTCCAAAGAGACGATAAAACTGGAAACATCCACTAAAAAACCAAATCCGGGAAGAAAAAAAAAAAAAAAGCGATTTTGTTTTTCCAAAGAGACGATAAAACTGGAAACATCCACTAAAAAACCAAATCCGGGAAGAAAAAAAAAAAAAAAGCGATTTTGTTTTTCCAAAGAGACGATAAAACTGGAAACATCCACTAAAAAACCAAATCCGGGAAGAAAAAAAAAAAAAAAGCGATTTTGTTTTTCCAAAGAGACGATAAAACTGGAAACATCCACTAAAAAACCAAATCCGGGAAGAAAAAAAAAAAAAAAGCGATATTGTATTTCCAAAGAGACGATCAAACTGGTAACATCCACTATAAAACCAAATCCGGGAAAAAAAAAAAAAAAAAAAGCCGCTCTTCAGCGCATCGTTTTATGCAACAGGAGGTAGAGCGAGAAATGAATGGATCACAGAGAAAAGAGAAACTACTGAGAACGATCCGGTCTCAACTTTCCCCCCACCCTCCACCCCACCCCCCTCCACACACTCGCGCACACACACGCACACGCACTCACACACACCACTCCCCTCTGCATTTCAAAGTAGCTATAAAGAAATTAAAGATGAGCGTCTCTGGAGTGAAAACACGTCCAAAGGGGGAGGGGTGACAGGGTCGGCGGGGGTGAGGGGGCGAGCAGAGTGGAGGGGGGGG